CCACTTCTTCGGATGTATTCACTCACAAAAGCTCATGCTCCTATACGTCTGTTAGTCTATAAGGTACCACAGGACTCTTTGCTGCTTTTACAGATCTAGACTAACACAGCTACCCCTTTGATACTTGACACCATTTTGGGTTAAGGTTTGTGGTGTGTGTTTAAAGAGTTTTACTCATTCCATCAGTTCTGTACGATCTCCCGCACAGCCGGAGAGCATCTTAACAGGACACTCATCTGAAGCTAGGTGCCCTGCACAATATAAAGGTCATAAGCATGAAGGAGCCCATAGGAACTCTCATAGCAAAAGCTTCTGGAAAGAAGATCCTTGATGATTCTGGCTCCTTTTTCCTTCAGTGGAGATGCTCTTTCCTGTCTAGCAGCCCAACTCCCTGAGAGCTCAAATCAGAGATCTACAGGGCTTGCTCCTCTTCCTCCCCCCCCCCCCACGCTTCAGTTGACACTTAAAAGTCCACCACACATACATCTGAACAGAGGCACTATCCCACAACACACCCTGTAGCATCTATGCTCGGAGGTCTTCTGGCAGGAAAGGAGATGAACACACACAAGTATCTAATCCCTGACTCCTGGTAAGTTGCCCCATTTCTCTGGGAGATTCAGGCAGGAGGTTAGTACACCTGAAATTGGGAGTTACTCAGCAAAAGAACAGGAGACTTAACACCTCTGCCAAATTCATGATTGTTCCATTAATTTCAGGAAGTTATTAGTTCCTCTCCCCAGGAAGAAAATAAAAATCCCGAAATCAAAACTCAATTACTTCACAGACAAATACAATTTTAAACTGGCTATACCAATACAATTGCCTCTCGAGGCTGGCTATGCCTAGATTCATCCTTTCTAATTTAAATAAACACTCAAGTATGTGAGGACAAAACTAGAGAGGCAAAGGCACAACATGAGATTAAACTAGCTAAAGACAAAGGATAAAAACCAACAAAAACCATTCTACAAGTACATTAGAAGCAAGAGGAAGACCAGGGACAGGGTAGGCCCATTACTCAATGAGGAGGGGAAACAAACAGAAAATTTAGAAATACCAGAAGTGGTAAATGACTTTTGTTTCACCAAAACGGTTAGTAGCAATTGGACATTAGTGAATGACAGGGAAAATGAGGTAGGATCAGAGGCTAAAATAAGGGAAGAACAAGTTAAAAATGACTTAGACAAGTTAAAGGTCTTCAAGTCACCAGCCTGATGAAATACATCCGAGAATACTCAAGGAGCTGACTGAGGAGATACTGAGCCATTAGCTTTAAAAAAAAAAAAAAAAAAAAAGGAGAATGGAAGATGGGAGAGATTCCACAGGACTGGAAATGGGCAAATAGAGCCATTTTATAGAAAGGGAAATAAGGACAAGCCAGAAAACTACAGACCTGTCAGCTTTTTAACTTCAGATACCAAAATACTATGGAGCAAATAATTAAGCAATTTGCAAACACATAGAAGATAAAAAGGTGATCAGTAACAGTCAGCATGGATTTGTCAAGAACAAACTTCTAGCAGGTCACAGAGCAGCAACAGCAGGATGATCACAGTTGTGGTCTGTTATCAGATGCTGGAAGGCTCATGCAACATGCTCTTTGAGATAAAATAAAAATCTTTAACACTTGATAGGTTACCACCCCCACCCCACTGCAGTTTACATATATATTTCATTTCAAGGGTAGTCAGTTAAGGCTGTCACTTGCAAAGAGATTGGTTACTTTTTTTATGTTCTGTAATCCCCTTCCTAATAGTTTTTGTGCTTCTCCGTTGAAACATTGTGTCCTCTTTTAGGCCTGTTAAAAATTGTGCTCTCATACAGTTGGCAGATTGGAAGCAATGGAATTAGACTGGTTCAGAGAGAAGAGTTTATGCAGCTCTCTATTCAGAAAATATATCTAGCCCTTTGTACTCTGTAGTGTAGCAAAGCCTACATCCATTTCAAAACAAGCATCCAGAGCACTACAGAAAAATATTTACATAAAAAAACCTACAAAGATCAGAAAAGAGGTATAGCCACTCAATGTATACATACTAGCACCTGAGAAATCCCTAACTGTGATAGATGGGAGAATTACTAACTAACTAATACCAATAGGGAGTTAAAAATATAGAGGTAGATACTGTGTCTGGGGTTAAGTTGTAAAAGGATTACATCAAGCAAATTCAAAAGCAAGAAAGAAAAACTACAGTAACTCCTCACTTAACATTGTAGTTATGTT